TGGCGAATCTTATATGTGTTGTTCTTGTCCTAAGTATTATCGTTCATTTCCAACCTTCGTTTGATTATTCTATTCAGTAACCTTTCCTAGGGTACAACATTTTGGCGACGGGGATGAGATCAAAACTACAGCCATTTTTTAAGCCAAAAAGACATTCGATGCAAAGATGTAAAAACTGCATTTAGATCTTTATTTTCAAACCTGTTATCGTAAAGGTTTCGAACACAATGGCAGAAATGTATAGATGTCCAGGGTTACTATTGTAACTGATTAAACGTTGTTTGAATATATTCTTTCAGAAATAAGATTTAATACTAAAATCGGTCTTTATTTTTCGAACAACCTAATATTTAGATGCCGTGGTAATAGCATAAGTGGTGAAGATTTTTTGGTGGGTGGCTGCGAATAATTTAATACATTTGACAATTCGACCTAATGGTTTTGTCCGACTTTTCTCAGTACGAAAGAGAACGAAAAATTTTTAGCTATTTCAGCAAAAAAATAATATGATGGCACAAGCAACTTGTCATCAGTCTGTAGAAGGCAGCAGATGCGAAAATTGTTGCTGGCCTCTCGAGGGAAAAAAAAATTGCTCCTTTTGTGCGATCAGCGTAAAGAATTAAAACTAAAGTGAAATCGAAATTGACAGCCTGACGCGTTCCGACCGCCACGAACAGGTGACTGATTCAATGAACAGGGAATTTATGGCGTTAGGTGTAATCAACCGGAAATAAGCTGACCTTTTCCGGTCAGTGACTCCGCTTCCTATTCTGAACCTACATTTTGCCGTAAGCCGGTAATTTCTCTTTCGCGGCATTGTAAAAATTAACGCCCTGCGCATATATACAAACCATTTATTCAAACACATGCACACACACACACACACATATATATATATATATATATATATATATATATATATATATATATATATATATATATATATATATATATATATATATATATATATATATATATATATATATATATATATATATATATATATATATATATATATATATATATATATATATATATATATATATATATATATTGAAGTCAACACTCAGAGGCGACAGGGTGTTTTATGCTGGACGCAATGCGTTCAACATCAAACAGCCTGTCGCCTCAGTGTTGACTTCAATGTTCACTTTATATTTATATTTACATACGTTCTATCTTTGATACTGAGCATTTTATCCCATAAATATAGCACACCTTAAAACTATATCTCTTCTAATATATATATATATATATATATATATATATATATATATATATATATATATATATATATTCAAGCAGGTTTGGTTAAATAATTTAGACGTATAGATTGACCCAAAAACAGGAATTTTTGAAGTGCATATTGCCAGACATGAGCAAGTGGCAACACTGCGAGACTGTGACCTTGAGCAAGTAAACATTTCGCCATTTCGAATTCAAGATGAAATTCACAGTATCCCAGCTGAGATGTTGCAACAGTCAATGAGGAATCTCAACAGCAGATTTCAAGAATGCATTCGTACAGGATGACGCCATCTACAGGACGTAATTTTTAAAAAATGAAAATTCCATCATTGTTTCTTAAATGGCATGTTTTAAGGTTTCAATTACTATGAATAAAATATTTTTCTTCCATCACTCTTGGTTTTATTGGACTGTTAAAATGTCCCCGTTTTTTTTTTTTTTTGGTGGGGCGGGGGCTCACCCTGTATTATGCCTATTTATTTTAGTTTTAATCCTTTCAAGTCCACGAATTAATTTCTTGGTGGCTGTAGAAAATTGATCAAGAAAAATACCAGATTTTCTTTCAAATAATTATTATTTTCCCTTTTATATAAGAGAATTGCGACCAAAAAAATAATGTCAACTATGCGTATACTTCTCAAATGTTTGGAGCAGCAAAGTTTTATATAAAAATACTAAATTAAAATATTATAAATCAAAAAATTTTCTTTTTTAAAAGAATTTGCAGAAGTTACCTCGCTTGCATTATTGAAAATTTTCAATTTGAAATGCTGCAGTGCAAACAATGAAAAAATTATTTTGAATTTACAAAGCGACTGTATACACATCCACAGATATTTTAAACCCCTAAAGACGGTCACAGATGAGACTGAAAGTACTTTGGAAAATAAAAATTATTTGAAAGAAAATTTTGGTAACCCTACTAAAAAATTAATTCTTCTACTTGAAAGGATTAAAACTAAAATAAAAAGACATAATATATATAAATTATTTGACCAAACCTGCTCGAACGAAAATATGATGCATATATATATATATATATATATATATATATATATTATAATTTTGTCATGAAAAGTACCTTTTTAACAAAATAGTTTGTCCAGAAAAAAAGCGTTTAAAGTGCTATGATTTATGAGTTCTCCTGATTAATATATATATATATATTAAAGAAAAACAGACCACTTTAAGACTCCATTGTAATAGTTTATTTCACCAGAGACCTTTTAAAGTATTCCGGATCTTCAGACATCATTTTCAAACGGTGAAACGAAAAATGAAATGAAAATTTGCACTTTTGACGGGTAGTATTAAGTTTATGTAATTTAACAGAGAGGGTAGCGAGGAGTGGTGTGAGAGACATGGTCGAGTTTAGAGAGGGTTTATTTTATACTACTTTCTATCATACTGCACCACTTCTCAGCGTCATCATAGGCTACCAAGAACTACACGAGACATAGTCAGCGGAACGAAAACAATCTTCCTCCATAGATTAGATAAATAGATCACTTCTATATACCCTGACGTTTACTCGGGTATATAAGCACCTGATGAAGGCAAAAGGACACAGCTGCCGAAACATTACGGTAATGACAAGAAAAATGAGGACACTAGACCGCGTTTAAAAATCGTAAATAGTGTTAACGACTCATCCCAGAATTTCAAACCGAAATTATTTTTAGTATCTGTCTATATTTTTGAGATGAGGCATTATGTACACTATTTACATTATTCGGACTATTGTCCTCATCTTTGTTGCTATATTTATCACAACGCTCCGGCCTTCTTCAGGTGGTTGGAATGTCGAACTGAACCCTTTATTTCACTCACTGGGGTAGACTGTTCTAGTTCCATATGCCATGTCTAATGGATGTCAGTTATCAGTTATCTTCTGTTAATTCACCTCTCCAAGTTCTCCACTGCCCTTAACTAGGTATTGAACTCACAACTCTTTGGGTCCTGTCACTGGATCTAACCAACGCGTTTATCCACTGTGGCATGTGTTCTTAAGGAACTGTGTGTAGAAATTATTTTGTTGTTGTTGCTGTTGTTGTTGCTGCTGCTGCTTTTGTTGTTGTTTATTTTCGGCCATATTTGTTTTTATTCCTGTGTTTTATTTTTGCGTTTTTTTTTAAAATTTTCGCTTATTCGACGATGTCTGTCAGTTCCAGCGTCTAAATGGTCGCATGCGAAACGCTAAAAGTTGATTTATTCAATTCAAAGAATTCCAAGCTCTAATTCTAGATTTCACCTTCCTGTCGCAGACACTATTAATCAATGTTCCTGTTGCAGCCACTGCAAAGCGAACTAACTGACCTACTAATTTCAGAGGCGATTACAAGGGATGAGACGCAATGGCGGTGGATGGGCAGCAGAATAGAGAGGGTGTGGCACCGGAAGAAACGAGCTCATCTCTCATCGCAAAGCAGAGAGAATAATTAAGGTGTAATTATTTGATGTGCGTAAACATTAATATCGAATTATTTCAATTATTCCAAGACGGTCAGAAAGAATGGATTTAGTATATCTCTTTTCTTAGCTTAGCTTAGAATGGCACAAGGCCATTTGCACCGGAGTAATAGGAGTATAAATGTTTATGTTAATCTTCCAAATTTGGTAGTGAAAGGAGAAGAGATATTTTATAAAATATGTCTAGAGAAAAAGAATTTTTTTAAAAATTATGCTATTTATTGTCAGTTGAATATATTTTTGGGGGGGTGGGCTATACATATTTCGTCTAGGTGTTTACCTGTGTAAAACTGTGCAAAATTGTGCCCTGAAGATGATAATTTGAAATTGTCGAAAGTACTTAGCATGTGTCTTCCATCTGACAACTCGAATATAAGGATCTTATTATTCAAGGAATTGATAGTAAATGTCTCATTAAGTCTTGTTAGCAAAGTGATTTCACCATTAATTTCATTAATATTGCTATTTAACATTGCTTTGTATAAATTGTTTCTTTATGATATAAAATATAGCCTGCACATTATTCATTGAATACGACCGACAAGACACAGAGATAAAGCTTTTTAATATATTTTTCTTGCTGTCATAAACGGGATTTATTTTTACTATATAAAGTGTGAAATGTCTGTTCAAATAATATTTGGTCCCAAGCGGTTTAGCCATTATCAAGAATGTTTTTGGTGTTTATTTATTTTTACCTTCCTGAAGATGTAGATTTTTTTTTATATATGTATATCTATGGTGATGAGAATGTTTATTTGTTTTCCAAAAACGGTCAGTCATGTTCATAGTTGATTTTATTTTGTGTTGGCTTTTACATTTTGTCATACTTAATGCTTCCATTATATTTAGCCGTCTTAATTATATCTGCTATGAACATGAGCGCAAAGTTATTTACACTATTTACATAGTTCGAACAGGATCCAACCAACGCTTTTATCCACTGGGTCACGTGTCCTCGTAGAACTAGAACAATCTACCCCAGTGGACGAAATAAAGAGTTCAGTTTGAAATTCCAATCACCTGAAGAAGGCCGGAGTGTACAACGGCCGAAACGTTGTGAATATGGCAAAAAAGATGAGGACAACTCTCCAAACAAATTGTAAATAATTACAATACCTCATCTCAGAAATATAATTTTTTTACTATTTTGTCATTATATATATCCATATGTCCGATTGAATAAATTACAAACGTTATGAATGCTTATTTTTATCATAATCCTTCATATACGCGAATATTTTTCCGTATATTACAATTGTAATTGAAAGAAATTCGCGAATATGAACGGATTATCAGTCTGTACATATCTATATATCTATCTACCAGAGTCTGTTCATATCTATCTATCTATCTATCTATCTATCTGTGTCTGTTCATATCTATCTTTCTGTCTATCTATCTATTCTGATATCTTTGTGTCAACCAAGTTCAGTCGTTCATATATAGAGAGTGTCAATTCATATGTATCCGTCTATCTCTGTATCAGAATCTGTTCATACCTATCTATCTACCTATCTATCTCTTTATCAAAGTCTCTACATACCTATATTTCTTTCTTTCTTTTTTCTTTCTATCTATCTATCTATCTATCTATCAGAGTCTGTTCATAACTATCTATCTAGAAGTGTCTGCTATAAACGTGTTCATATCTATCTATCTATGTATCAATGTCTGTTCATTTAATCTGTCTATCTCTCAGTCTGTTCATATCTATTTATCTATCTATCTATCTATCTATCTATCTATCTATCTATCTATCTATTAGAGTCTGTTTATATTTATCTGTCTCTCTATCAGAGTGTGTTCATATCTATTTTCCCACTCATTATCACCCTCCTTTTCTATTCTTCTCATCCCCATACCCTCCTCAGTTCATATTCACTTTGCTCTTCTCGTCATTCACATCCGAAGCAAAATCTTTTGATGAGCGTAAGGTGAAGAGTGTGGGCACGAATCATTGTCTAATTGAATTGATTATGACGTGTGATCGATATCACTTCAAAGAACCACTGTGTCTGTCCGGCACCAGAATCAAATGTCCGCATAAGGGAACCAATCACTTCTTGACAATCGAGGAAGAGGGACCCGAAATAATGAGGAACAAGGGATACATTTCATACACCTGGCAATTTAAAAGAAAAAAGAAAATCCTGTTCTTATTTTTAACAAAAGTTAAAGAGGAAAGCCGTCAAATAAAGAGAGATGTTGAGAAAGTGGCAGTGTTCAATAAACATAGATAAAAGGGAATCACAATTGTTATTTACTAAGCTGGTATATCAGGTACAATTCGTTTATGCAGAGAGAAATAAATATGATTGAAAATCAATGGGTAAATGAGGAAAGACCTAACTTTATAAGTCGTATAGCACACACACAGACATATATATATATATATATATATATATATATATATATATATATATATATATATATATATATATATATATATATAAAAAAGGCTTAAACACTAATATTCCATGGTCATAATTTATTCCATTGGAATCGTAAATACGATCCAATTGATCAGACCTACAATCTAGATCAGATCTACAAACCTAGGTCTGATGAATTGGATCGTATTTACGATTCCAATGGAATAAATTATGACCATGGAATATTAGTGTTTAAGCCTTTTTATTATATCCTTATTCTGTCCTAAACATTGAGTTCTACCTGGATTTTATCTTTGGAATTTTTTATTAAAAAAATATACATGTATGTGTATGCATATATATATATATATATATATATATATATATATATATATATATATATTTTGCATATGTATGTGTATATTTATCACTAATATTAGCAATATATATATATATATATATATATATATATATATATATATACAGTGTAACCTGGATATAAGAGACCTGGATATAAGAGAAACCCGGATATAAGAGAGATTTTCTCTGGTCCCAAATTAGAGCCTGTGTTAATGTATATAAAATAAACCAAACCCGGGTATAAGAGAAACCCGGATATAAGAGACTTCTTTTCCGTTCCCGACAACTCTCTTATATCCGGGTTACACTATATATATATATGTGTGTGTGTGTGTGTGTGTGTGTGTGTGTGTTTGTGTGTGTGTGTGTGTGTGATTGAATAAATTACAAACATTACGCCTGCTTATTTTTATCATAATCCTTTCATATTCACGAATATTTTTTCCGTATAACACAATTGTAATATACGGAAAAATTTTCGCGAATATGAAAGGATTATGATAAAAATAAGCAGGCGTAATGTTTGTAATTTATTCAATCAGACACGCCTAAAAGAGAATTTGTAGCCTAAATACACAAATTTATATATCTGGCTACTGGCGTATTTCTTAAAACACTAAAATTTCCCTTTCCCTCTGATGTGCGCCGATAGCTTAGGAATAGGATCTCTGACCGATACCAAATTGGTCGAGTTTCGATCTCGGTTTAAAGCAACTAGACGTCTAGCTACACTGTAGAGCTGTGATGACTATATATATATATATATATATATATATATATATATATATATATATGATATGACACCACAGAATAATATATTGATTTAAAACGAACTTTAGACATTTTTCTTTTGTATTTTTTTCTTAGAAATTCTATTGACCAACACTTCAGTAGAAGAAATCGTTAGTGTGATTTTGGACAAGACAACAGACGATATTCACAATAACTGAATATTAAAAATGGAGGGAAACTTAATCATGGAATACAAATAAAACAATTTATAAATAACCGAAAAAAATTAAAACAGTTCCAGTGAGTATAAAAGAGAAGAATGTTACTCACGACCTCCAAATTATTTAAGTGAGTTGCTATTGATTTTGTTTTTGCTTGCATAGGCTCGGCCGGTGTATTTCGATATACGCTGCTTCTAAAGTTTTCAAATGATGTGCAAGAGGGTGAAACAATCATCTGTACATTGATATAAACAGTCAGGATTATTTAAAAGGTGCTTGGGTCATCCTCTTTTACTATCAGGAACGTGTTCACCGATACGGGCCTCCAATCTCAGTTTCTTCACAGTTACTAGGAAATTCATCAAGAAAGGCGCTGTAGTTTTTTCCTACCCAAGTATTTTCGATCTTCTCCAAGATCATCCACGGTGGTAAATTACAATGACAAACGCATTGTAACTGGGATAAAAATCTTCATTTCGTTATAATGGTATTTTTTTTTTACAAAAACACACCTGAACGCGCTCTTCCCCAATATATATATATATATATATATATATATATATATATTACTTTTCTCTTTTTTCATGCTCTGTGTTTTTTCCTGATACTCTTGTAGTTGTTTCTTCCTCGTCTTTATTTCATTCGTCTTTTTCCTCTTTCCCGCCTGTTCTTTCTCTCTCATTTTTTATCTGTTCATAATCGTCCGCTTCATTTTCTACTTTTTCTTCTCCTTTCCTCGTTCCTCCTTCTCATTCTTCTTTTCTTTTCTTTTTTCTTTCTTTCTTTCTTTCTTTCTTTCTTCTCCAAGATCATCCACGGGAGTAAATTACAATGACAAACGCATTGTAACTGTGATAAAATCTTCATTTCGTTATGATGGTATTTTTTTACAAAAACACACCTGGACGCGCTCTTCCCCCTAAATATATATATATATATATATATATATATATATATATATATATATATATATATATACACTACCAGTCGATAACAATATCAGTGATATTTGTTCCTAATCGCTTGATGCTAGTTGAACTTTCATTGCTTATACCAATTTTTTATTTGTACCGTAGTAAAACGGAATAAAAATTCCTTGGTGACGCGTTTCCTTTCAACAAGAAACTTCTTCAGAATAATAAAAAAGTTATTGACAGACTCAGTCTTATATATATATATATATATATATATATATATATATATATATATATATATATATATATATATATATAATAAAAATGTATACACTAATATTCCAAATCATAATTTATTCCATTCAAATCGATTTTGAATTTGTAGGTCTGATGATCGGACCTTCAAATTCAGATTCCAATGGAATAAATTATGACCATGGAATAATAGTGTATATCTATTTTATTATATCCTTACTCTGTCCTAGACATTGAGTTCTACCTGGATCCTTCCTCTTGGAAATTTTTTTTCTGAAAATATACATGTATGGGAATTTTTAGATATATTTTTCATATGTATGTATATTTTCCACTAATATTATCTATCTATCTATCTATCTATCTATCTATATATATATATATATATATATATATATATATAGAAGGAGAGAGAGATATCAAATACACAGTTGTCTTTCTATATCAACATCGTTAATATATATATATATATATATATATATATACACTATCTGTCGAAATTATTTGGAAAGGTTTGGGAAATTTTTATTTCTCATCCTAAAAGTCTACGTTGATAGTGATTTGTTTTTTTGACAGAAATTCTGCTATAAAGGCCAGCTTCACAGAAACTTCTCCTCACAGTGGATGTTGACATTTTTTTCGTGACATTGTTTCAATTGTACAGTGATGTTTTCATCAGAGTCAGTCAAGCTGACTCTGATGAAATTGTCCTCTGCTCTTGTTGTTACTTTTGCTCTACTGGCCCTACCTTTTGTTCATCTATTGTCCTGTTTCGTGATGTCTCCTAACAATATAATCCACTGTAATTATGGGAATTTTTATGGTTTTTTTTTTAAATTTCTCTGTTTGAATATCCTTCTTTTTTTTTTTTTAAAGTAATGATCGTTTTGTCTTTGTTCAAAAGTTCACGTGTTTTAGGCATTTTACTGAGAAAATAATATTGATCCGGAAGAAAGTTTCAAAATTTAGGTTTTAATTTGAACAAAATTAGAATCACAGATTTCACTACTGGTCAAGGGACATTGGCAGCATAGGTAAAACAGAAAGTAGCTAGCAGGCAGTAATTGAACACTTCAGTATAATCTAATGTGAGTTCAAATGGTGAATAATATAACTTTTGGAAAACGTTTTATTCATGCTCAGTACTAAAGAAGAAAAATGCCTTCGATTCAATTTTTCAAAAGATATCTAGTTATACTAAGGTCAAAGTTACTATGGAAGATTTGTATTTAGTATAATAAATAAATATATTGTTACGTACCATTGTGGTACTTAACTTGTTTCATTAAAAATAACACTTTTAGGATGAGAAAAAAATTAAGGGTGGTCAAATACATTTGACTGGTACTATATATATATATATATATATATATATATATATAATGGACAATATATACAATTTATTAAAGACATTTTTATGTTTAACATTCTTTTTATACATACAAGTATTTAAGTAAATGCTGTTTATAATAAACAGTATTAAATAACATTTACCGGCCTGAATGTCCGAGAAATTATTATAAACAGACAATTTACTTAAATACTTGTATCTACAAAAAGAATGTTAAACATAAAAATGTCTTTAATAGATAGATAGATAGATAGATAGAAAAGAGAACACTGAAATCAACACTCAGAGGCGACAAGCTGTTTCATTCTAGACGCAATAATCAGGCCAGGACCGTTGTTTTTTTTTCTCGTCTATTTATATATACGGGTCAGTGCTGCATTATGGGTAGTCCATTCTGGCGGTAATTTTGGCGGGAGTGGCTTGTTTATTTATTTATTTGGATTAATTTATTTTACTGTTTATTTATAAACAGGGACACATTGACATTCGTATGCATTATATAGATATATAATACATAAATTAACCACAAACTAAAATATAAAATATAAAGCCCAAAGTTGTTTATACTGCAATTATGATGAGCGAACAATAGTTACAGTTCAGTTAGGTGTTCCATTATTTAAAACATACTATACATAAATTAATCTGAAACTAAAATAATATAAATAATAACCACATTGTAAAACAAAAAAAATGAACAATAACAATAACAACATTTACTGACTTTCGTTTATTAGACATTAAATTACATCAGTTAGCATCTTCCATAATTTGCCTTGACCTTAAGTTAGCCTGAAGTATATTTATTAGCCTTCTTAACCCTTTGCCTATTCAGGACATTTTCGTGTTTTGCGATGCATAGGACATACAAAAAGTTAAAAGTTAGCGTCGACTAAGATAAGTTTTTCGTTATTCATATATATATATATATATATATATATATATATATATATATATATATATATATATATATATTATAAATTAATTGATTTAAAAAATATGTTTTTTTCCGCTACACAGTTCTAACCATGTTTAAAAAATGAAACATGGTTAGAACTGTGTAAAAAAAAAACATATTTTAAATCAATTAATTTATAATATTAATGTAATAATAAATTTACAATGAGCACTATTTTGTAAAATAAAAAAATATCTATAAGAACACCGGATTATATATCACTGTTCTTTCTTTTTATTTATATAGACACACACACACACATATATATATATATATATATATATATATATATATATATACATATATATATATATATGGTGGACTTTCCGTCGTATTCGATGTATGAGGGTCAAGCAGTTCAGTTCCTAGGAACCAACAACCCGACACCAGCATATGAGATTTGATTATAGTGGTTGAAGGCATTGTGCAGAACCAACCACACTTTCTGAAGGGTCGAATACACAGACCTGGTGCACTACGTGCCACAAGGTCCCCAAACGACCCTCCGCAGGTTTTGAAATCAGAGCTATCCTTCTCCTAGACCAGCTGCCATTCAAGGCTATAGAACCCAGGCTGTCCTGCTATTTATCCACAGCTGGGTGAGAAGAAGAGGATTAATACCTTTCCCAAGGGTATTTGTTATAAATGAATCTTCTCTCTCTCTATATATATATATATATATATATATATATATATATTTATATATATATATAGGGAATGATAACTAATTTTCGAAAAATCGTAATCAAATCAATCTCGAGGAAAAAAGGTTTTAAAAAAGAAAAGCTACAAACATGAACTTCTAATAAAAACAACTAACTAACAAAAGAGCTCAATACAACCGTGAGCAGACCTAGATACACCTAGTGAGCCAGACTTGGGTTTCACCTAAACGGATCGTCAGGAAAGGTATCTATCTATCTATCTATCTATCTATATATATATATATATATATATATATATATATATATATATATATATAATTTAGTTAATCCAAATATTTCACTAGAGCACGTTCTCCCTACACTATAAATTGCGATTTCTTGCCTCCTTCTCTTTTACTTTGCACTTCAGCGGACACATTTAAAAATGTGATTTGATTTTTTGTTTGTTTGTTCACACACAAACACAAATGTTGATGTCTTTGTCACTTTTGTTTGTCGTTTAATCCATATATTTTTGATTATATATACATATATATATATATATATATTTTTTTTTTTTTTTTTCTTTTTTTGTTTTTCAACTTGAGTCCGCATTTTTTTTGTAGTTGGACCTTCTAGCAAGAATAAACAGCACGTCCCTAATTTAACAACACGTTTTTTTTTTTCTCTCTCTCTCTCTATCTATCTATCTATCTATATATATATATATATATATATATATATATTGTATATATATATACATTTTACTTTTGCTTATAAATAATTGTTGCAAAATTATTCTTATATTTGGCTTGATAAATTTCATCAGGAGACAGAAACAAAGATATTTTTCCATTTCTTGAATGAAACATTATCAGTTTTCATTCATTTGAGACTCTTATTTTATTTTAAGGCTTTTTATAGCATCAATTCTCAGACCGTTATTCTGCATCTATTAAATGAGCATAACATATCAAAAAACAAAGAATATGGCTCCGGAAGGGTAATCACTTGTCCTCAGGGACTGTTACTTTTTTTTTTTGTTTTTGTTTTTTTATCAACAGGGGAATGAAAAATTTTATCGTCAAAATATTTGTGTCATTAATAATAAAGAAATACGGGGAAAAATCTGATATAAAAACTGAGTACACCTTAATGAACCAAAGATATTTGTTAAAAGTTATGGCGTGAAAAATTGTTTAGCTGTTGTTTTTGTTTTTTGTTTGTTTGTTTCTTTGTTTGTTTGTTTGGTTGGTTTTTTTTTTGTTGTTTTTAGGGTTTTTTTGGGTTTTTTTTTTTTTGGTTTATTTTTTTTCACCCCAAGCAAGGTAATAATGATTGAAAAGGTAATGAGAACTTTTTAATATCTCATTCCGGGCCGTACTTCGGTGATCCAACAGGATCCGGTGTTTCATCGTGATATGACCGTAAGCAAGCTTTTATGTGATTGGTTCTTATTGGCCGCTCGAAAGAAGGGCTCAATTTCTCTCCTTCGGTTTCACCTACGTAACTCGGTCTCACGATTATTATTATTATTATTATTATTATTATTACTACTACTACTACTACTATTACTGCTACTACTTCACTACTAGTAGTAGTAGACCGCAGAATGTAATATATTTTAATTTTCCATGGAATATAAGTACAGATAATTCCCCATTAATGCTGCCTTTCTCTAATTCCATTTAAACTCTTCGGTCACATTCAATC